TGTTTTTGTAAATACGGTTTCTTTAGGAATCCATACGGAAAGTGTGTTTCGCGTAATAATTGTACGCAAAATGTATGATTCAAACCATTATTTATATGATTTATTTATTAAAAACAATTTAAATAACGTTTTATTTAATTAAAAATACAATTTTACTTTCAAATGTGTCTTACGATTACTCCAAAACGATTTATAAAAACTTTTTGTTATAATTTTTTGTACAGATATTTTGAGTTTTCAATCACTCGTTGAGTTTGCAATCGGTATTTCTTAATAGTAAAGAATTGTGTTTAGTTTTGTTCATTAACTCTTCAGCCAATGATGTGGCCACTGAACCACCGATGAGAAAGACATGAATACATTTTAGAAATATATTATACTGAATATAAAGTTTTTATAATTTTATACATTTTTTGTGGTGTTCTTCGATAGCATTGATATGAATCTGTGAATCAATCTCACTGTAAGGCGAATACCAGACAATATTCGTATCATTTGTGTCGTTAAATTGATCCGCATTTCTATGGCTTCTCTTCCGACCGAATCTAAACTTTGAGAAAAATGTGTTTCTCAACCATTTTCGCCATTTGTTTGTCTCATTTGGCGAATTCTGTGTCCGTTTTGGTCTCCAGAATAGTGTCCATCTCTTGCCCTCACTATTGCCACAATTGTGAACCCTTTGAAAGTAAAGCATAACTTTTTAAGTATAAAAATGTGTGTAAATTGTAATGAATTGAAGTGAACAGTCATTACGTTCCCATTGATACGCTTCCGACGACTTGTGTGTTGTATTCTGTGTTGATATCATTCAAATGCGGGTAACTTTTGGAGTACTCTTTTGGCTGACAATCGATGACTTGTACTGTATTTGCGGTATATTTGACGACTCCATCCACACAACCACTGGACCAGTCTTTCGGCCGCTTATATGTCCGACAGTTATCCTTACGTTTGATTTTAAACTTCGTAAACATTTTAAAAAANAGTCTTTCGGCCGCTTATATGTCCGACAGTTATCCTTACGTTTGATTTTAAACTTCGTAAACATTTTAAAAAACACCGGATGTTTGTGGAGACAAAGACCTGAATATTATTAAATTCATTACATTTCACAAATATTTACAGATAGAGAGCGTTAGTGTTATTTTAGCCACAATTCCACAAATTGCAGCTTGTAACTTATTATTAATAAGTTATTAATAATATTAATATCTATTTATTAATTTTCTAACCTCCACCTCTTTCTTAAAGTTAATTACATACTTATTTTAAATTACATTTACATCTTTAAGTTTATTTATATTTACCATAAATCTAATGATAATTTATTAAATTCAATTTCAAATTATCTATCTCAAAATTAGACATTTTTATATTTCTTCAAACCTTGTTTAAATTAATTAAATTGACATTTTTAAAATTTAGTGAAACTATTCAATTGACTATAATATGAAAACAACATAATAACTATAAATGGAAACTTACAAATGAAAGATTATACCAAATATTATGTTAAACATAGTATTTATTGAAATATAGGATATATGGAGTGAAATATTAAATTTGTATGAATTAAATTAAGCGCTAACACAAAACATATGCATTGGAAATCATTTTAATATTTTTAAAATAAAAATTTAATTAAATTTATCATTATATACTATGATAATAAATAATGGCTAATATATTCACTACACAGTAGGCAGTATGTGAATGCACTTAAAAACACACATGATGAAAATTTGGATTACAATTGTATTATATTTATTCCTACAAATAGACGGAATATTTTCAGGTAAGTGAACAATTGATTAAAAATTAATGTGATAAATGAATGAACACCATATATGATTTGTGTTTACACTAATAGGCTGTGAATTATTCCGTAACACCGAGTTTTACATCGCGGGCACAGACTGTGGCAAAAAATGCGCGGATAGGCTCAACGCAAAGACACTCTCCTATTGCGATCTGAATGTCCGCAAACCGGGCTGTTATTGCAAAACTGGTTACTTCAGGGACTGGTCGTACAATTGTGTTCGCGGCAATCAGTGCGATAAGGGACGGCCCGCTAAGGGCGGCAAATCCA